TCTCACTTCTATCAGCCTATCCTTATCCCAGTTCTCACCTTCTTAGCAGTTTATACTCATTCCAGTCTCTCACCTTCTATCAGCCTATCCTCATCCCAGTCTCACCTCTATCAGCCTATACTCATCCCAGTCTCACCTCTATCAGCCTATACTCATCCCAGTCTCACCTCTATCAGCCTATACTCATCCCACTCCAACTTCTACCAGCCTACACTCATTCCAATCTCACCTCTATCAGCCTATACTCATCCCAGTCTCACATCTATCAGCCTATCCTCATCCCAGCCTCACCTCTATCAGCCTATACTCATCCCAGTCTCTGCTTCTATCAGCTTTATTATACTTTATCCCTCACTCTAAGCTCTCTATGAGCCTATACTCATCCCAATCTCACACCCCCAGCAGCCTATACTCATCCCATCTCACCTCTAGCAGCTTACACTCAACCTAGTCTCACTCTCCAGGAGTTTATCTTATCCTCATCCCACTCTTAACTCTCACTACCAGCCTACATTCTCATCCCAATATATATCTCAGTAGTGCATATACTATCCCAGTCTCACCTCCAGCAGCTTATATCTCATCCTCAGCTCTCACCTTATCAGCCTATACTCATTCCAGTCTCGCCTCTATCAGCCTATACTCATCCCGATCTAACCTCTATCATCCTATACTCATCCGAATCTCAACCCCAGCAGCCTACACTCATGCCAATCTCACCCCCAGCAGCCTACACTCATCCCAATCTCACCTCCAGCAGCCTATCCTCATCCCACTCAAACCTCTACCAGCCTACACTCATCCCAATCTCACCCACAGCAGCCTACACTAATCCGAGTCTCACCTCCAGCAGCCTATCCTCATCCCAGTCTCACCTCTATCAGCCTACAATCATCCCAGTCTCACCTCCAGAAGCCTATCCTCATCCCAGTCTCACCTCTATCAGCCTATCCTCATCCCAGTCTCACCTCCAGAAGCCTATACTCACCCCAGTCTCACCTCTATCAGCCTATCCTCATCCCAGTCTCACCTCCAGAAGCCTATACTCATCCCAGTCTCACCTCTATCAGCCTATCCTCATCCCAGTCTCACCTCTATCAGCCTATCCTCATCCCAGTCTCACCTCTAGAAGCCTATACTCATCCCAGTCTCACCTCTATCAGCCTACAATCATCCCAGTCTCACCTCCAGCAGCCTACACTCATCCCAGTCTCACCTCTATCAGCCTATCCTCATCCCAGTCTCACCTCTATCAGCCTATCCTCATCCCAGTCTCACCTCTATCAGCCTATACTCATCCCAGTCTCACCTCTATCAGCCTATACTCATCCCAGTCTCACCTCTATCAGCCTATACTCATCCCACTCCAACTTCTACCAGCCTACACTCATTCCAATCTCACCTCTATCAGCCTATACTCATCCCAGTCTCACCTCTATCAGCCTATCCTCATCCCAGTCTCACCTCTATCAGCCTATACTCATCCCAGTCTCGGCTTCTATCAGCCTATACTTATCCCACTCTAACCTCTATCAGCCTATACTCATCCCAATCTCACCCCCAGCAGCCTACACTCATCCCAATCTCACCCCCAGCAGCCTACACTCATCCTAATCTCACCTCCAGCAGCCTATCCTCATCCCACTCTAACCTCTACCAGCCTACACTCATCCCAATCTCACCCGCAGCGGCCTATACTCATCCCAGTCTCACCTCCAGCATACTATCCTCATCCCAGACTCACCCGTATCAGCCTATACTCATCCCAGTCTCGCCTCTATCAGCCTATACTCATCCCGATCTAACCTCTATCATCCTATACTCATCCGAATCTCACCCCCAGCAGCCTACACTCATGCCAATCTCACCCCAAGCAGCCTACACTCATCCCAATCTCACCTCCAGCAGCCTATCCTCATCCCACTCTAACCTCTACCAGCCTACACTCATCCCAATCTCACCCCCAGCAGCCTACCTTCATCCCAGTCTCACCTCTATCAGGCCTATCCTCATCCCAGTCTCACCTCTATCAGCCTATACTCATCCCAGTGTCACCTCCAGCAGCCTATACTCATCCAAGTCTCACCTCCAGCAGCCTAGGCTCATCCGAGTGTCACCTCCAGCAGCCTGTCCTCATCCCAGTCTCACCTCTATCAGCCTACAATCATCCCAGTCTCACCTCCAGAAGCCTACTCATCCCAGTCACACCTCTATCAGCCTATCCTCATCCCAGTCTCACCTCCAGAAGCCTATACTCATCCCAGTCTCACCTCTATCAGCCTATACTCATCCCAGTCTCACCTCTATCAGCCTATCCTCATCCCAGTCTCAACCTCTATCAGCCTATACTCACCCCAGTCTCACCTCTATCAGCCTATCCTCATCCCAGTCTCACCTCCAGAAGCCTATACTCATCCCAGTCTCACCTCTATCAGCCTATCCTCATCCCAGTCTCACCTCTATCAGCCTATCCTCATCCCAGTCTCACCTCCAGAAGCCTATCCTCATCCCAGTCTCACCTCTTTCAGCCTATCCTCATCCTAGTCACACCTCTATCAGCCTATCCTCATCCCAGTCCCACCTCTACCATCCTACACTCATCCCAATCTCACCCCCAGCAGCCTACACTCATCCCAATCTCACCTCCAGCAGCCTATCCTCATCCCACTCTAACCTCTACCAGCCTACACTCATCCCAATCTCACCCCCAGAGGCCTACACTCATCCCAGTCTCACCCCCAGCAGCCTATACTGATCCCGATCTCACCTCTACCAGCCTACACTCATCCCACTCTAACCCCTACCAGCCTACACCCACCCCACTCTAACCTCTACCAGCCTATATTCATCCCGTGAATACATGACACTTTTATGGATAACAACTTCTTTTTATTCTTTACGCGACGTTTCACAGCTAATTCTTGCTCCTTCATCAGGTGAATATTCATCCCAGTCTCACCTCTATCAACCTATACTCATCCCAGTCTCACCTCTATCAGCCTATACTCATCCCAGTCTCACCTCTATCAGCCTATACTCATCCCAGTCTCACCTCCAGAAGCCTATACTCATCGCAGTCTCGCTTCTATCAGCCTATATTCATCCCAGTCTCACCTCTATCAGCCTATCCTCATTCCAGTGTCACCTCCAGCAGCCTATACTCATCCCAGTCTCACCTCCAGCAGCCTATACTCACCCCAGTCTTCACCTCCAGCAGCCTATCCTCACCCCACTCTAACCTCTACCAGCCTACACTCATCCCAATCTCACCCCAGCAGCCTATCCTCATCCCACTCTAACGTCTATCAGCCTATACTCATCCAAATTACACCTTTACCAGCACATACTCATCCAGTTCTCACCTCTACCAGCCTATACTCATCGAGTTCTCACTTCCAGCAGCCAAGGCGCACACCAATTCTCACCTACAGCAGCCTACACTCATCCAGTTCTTACCTCCAGCTCGCTATCTGTACTCATCCATTTCTCACATCAAACAGCCTATACTCATCTAAATTTCACCCCCAGCATCCACTCTATACTCATCCATTTAATTTAAACGTGGGAAAATGAAGGTTGAATATATAACACGGAGGTCCTGACAGAAGTGAAAGTAGCACAATGCTCCGCAAATACAATTGTCATAAATACAACAAACCTGGTAAGCGATTACACAATATTTATTATAAGATCCATTTCATATAGTAGCTGTAGTTTCAAGACAAGGTAAACCAACAATGTAAATCTACTTTTCCAAGACAAAAACGACTTCAAACAAGATGTGTTCCAGGACGGGTAATCAGTGTTCAGAAATGTCTACCGATAATGCCTCAAAGTTATGACCTAGCAGACGTCTCTTCACGCCAACTACGTCCGCACAAAGACCCACTAGGGATAGCTTGTGTGGTGGAGGTAGCCTAGTGGATACAGCGTTCGCTCGTCACCCCGAAGACCCGGGTTCGATTCCCCAAAAGTGTAAAACCCATTTCTGGTGTCTCAAGCCTTGATTTTGGTACAAAAGAAGTGGCGTAAAACCATGCTCTCTCACAAAGGTTAGCTAATGACTCCGAGCGAGCCGAGTCCGGGTTTGTGCACCTTTTAGTATATGAGCGAAGAGATTGTGTCTTCAGAATACAGTTTATCGAAGTCTATGGAACACGGTACTGACGCCAATACATACACAAAGAACGTAGTTAAGCACCCACTCTCGTATCTCACGATTGAATGAGCAATGGGCTTAACCCATTGGAGCATGTCTGGGACATGATTGGTCGTCGTGTGCAACAAGGGGATCCTCCTGTACAGAACCTGGCCCAATTGGAAGCTGCTTTACACGAGGAATGGCGTAGACTACCCCTTCGGAGGATCAGGAGGCTGATAGGGGGTATGAGGAGGAGGGTGCTGGCTGTTATACAGTCTCGGTTAGACTCGGTATTGATCTTGAATCGTGTAAGACACGCAAAAAGACATTTTGAATGTTCACACTTACCAATAAATTCAACCTTAAACATTCCAGGGCCATACCTGTTCAGACATAGTTATGTATGAAAAATTAATGTGTTTTTTTTAAAAAAAAGAGCAATTGTCATCATAAAATCAACACAGATTCCAATCATTTTGTCGTTGTTTACGAGTCAAAAGATCATACGTGTAAGAAAAACATGTTTTTCCATCGTGGTCATCACGAGACGTTTTATGAGCGTGTTGAAAACCTATCAAACAAACATACAGGGGGCGCTTTATTAAGTTCTCTGTGCATATTTGAGCCCTAGGACTGAAAGAATATGATAGCAGCCAGTGCTTCGCCTATACACAGAGTCCTATTAAATGGCTGAAAAATACTGCAACCTTAATACCGACATGGGCACTACTTCTGGTTTGGCTTAAACTCAGAGAACTACCATGTAATGTGTGAAGTCGATTGATCTGCTCACATAAACACAGGGGACTGGTTTACTTCAAAATACTAGTATGTAAGAAAAGAATTCTATTTTCAGACAGACAGACAGACATTTTATTCAGTAATAGGCCACTGGCCCAAAATACATTCATAAATATGATAATATGATAATATTCTATTTTCAGTGAACATGAACATCCAAACAGCAACGAAACATTTATGGTATCACTCAAAATTACGAACAGATATTTTGTCGGCTTATTGATAAATTTGAAAATCGACTCGTAACAATTATGAATTCAATACAAAGTAGTGCAAATACTGAGAATCGAGTATTAAACATTATGTTGCAAGATTGGGTCATTGATCAATTCAAGCAGAAATGCTTTCAAATAATGATGTCATATTTTTCCTCAACGAGGAACAAGACTGTGTAGAAGGAGTGGGGCAATTCATTTCATTCAGCAAAGTTTATACTGAAATAACACAAAGTTTGAAAAGTCAAGGGCTAGTGTTCTTTAGAGGAAATCATCATGTACATATATGCTTAATTTCTTTTTTTAAACTAATAAATCTGATGGAACTTGTGCTCCAGATAATCCAGGCTTGAGATGGATTCGTATTTGTTGGAACCATCTAGACTTTTAATGATGGTGTCATCATCAGGGTTGACAAAAAACGCGAGGGACTGTCGGTACTGGCGTTTCTTCACTTCCGATTCAGGAATCAGGACTCGGTGTTTCTGAAAATAGGAAACATTCATGAAATACTTGACACAACTATGGAACTAATTTGCTTTTGTGCACACGTTAGCCTTGTGTCTGGCTTCACTCTCTGAAAAGCAGCAATATTGGTTGTGTCGTGACCAAGAACCCATTCAAATAATGTTGACACAAATAAGCACAGGCACTTTTCGCTCTGAAAAGCAGCAATATTTGTTGAGTCGTGACCAAGAACTCATTCAAATACTGTTGACACGGATAACCAGACGGACTATTTCAACCTTGTCAGTGCAAATCTGCAAGTTTGTGGTACCAAAGCAGCAGTGTAATGCAGTGAGTAAGTGAGTGTGGGTTTATGTCCCTTTTAGCAATATTTCAGCAATATCACGGCAGCGAACACCAGAAATAGGCTTCACGCATTGTAACTATATAGGGAATCGAACCCGGGTTTTCGGAGTGGCTAGGCTACCGAACCGTTCAGTGCCATGCTGCTTAACGTTTAAATGCATTACTATTTACGCCCAGTCTCTTGTCAATTCCTGTCTCTTGGTTTTGGTATAATGTTGCTGATCTATAAAAGCTTAATTTCGTTTATTTCCCAACTGAAGTCAAGCCTATGCAATTGCCACAAGTAATTGCAACAAGAAAAAGTGTCAACGAGGTCGATTGCAAACTAAAGGGTATGTTTAATCTTATTTGGTCAACTTTATCCATAGACGTCTTATTTGGTTAGCTTGACCCTAAAACGAGTTTCAGAATGGACACAGGCTTTTGTTTAGTTAAAGATTTTCGAAAGTGTGTTCAAAAAGGTTAAAAGCCGAATAATATCAGAATGAGTAATATCTGTTGAGATTAAATACAACTGTTGTTAGGGGACATACTGAAGGTAACATAAATAACTGTTAAATTGACGAGAATATGATGAGCGATTATGTCCATGTTCAAGCTAACAACAAGTCTGTAGGCGACACTGAGACCTGTCATGACAGAATGGTGTGTGTGTAGAATCCATGAATAGAAATGCGTCTCAGACCGAGAGTTATGAGGCATTAACAATTGGAATGTACAATCTCAACCCAAAAACAAATATAAAATTAACGTTCACAAGCCTATTTCGAAAGAAAACTGAGGTTACTCGTTTCTGGCCTTGTACAGTGTATTGTAAAACCACTGATCATGGTCGGATGTTTATTGTGTGCTCACTGCGGCTCTAATCTTATCTGCAGTCCATCGCTGCATCATGTCACCGATGTTGACTACGATGGCGCCGGGGACAGAATTGACAGGAACATATACGTCATCAGTGTTCATCACCTGAAACATGTCATACCACATACATGTCATCAGTGTTCATCGTCTGAAACATGTCATACCACATACATGCCATCAGTGTTCATCGCCTGAAACATGTCATACCACATACATGTCATCACTGTTCATCACCAGAAACATATAACACATACATGTCATCAGTGTTCATCACCTGACAAATATCATACCACATACATGTCATCAGTGTTTATCACCTGAAACATGTCATACCACATACATGTCATCACTGTTCATCACCTGAAACATGTCATACCACATACATGTCATCAGTGTTCATCACCTGAAACATGTCATACCGCATACATGTCATCAGTGTTCATCACCTGAAACATGTCATAGCACATACACGTCATCAGTGTTCATCACCTGAAACATGTCATACTACATAGTTATCATCACCACCTATCAACTCAAACATGTAATACCACATACCACACAGTCACCAGTGTTCATCACCCACATACACCGAAAGTGAGACCGCCTCCGTGGTGTAGCGGTTAGAGCGTCCGCCCGCTTCAGTCTGGGCTAGTGCAAGCAGACGCACATACACATACACACGCATGCACGTCGTCATATGAAGCGAAATATTCTCAAGTACGACGTTAAATCCAATTTCACCTCGCCTCACCGAAAGTAAAACATCACCTCTCTGAAAATAGAGGACATGGACATGTTTTGTCAATTGAATTCATTATAAACGCATGGGCTGAATCAGTGTTCATCGCCAAATACACGTACTACATACGAGGGGGTATCAAAAAGTTCTAATTATCCCCAAGAAGTTATTGCGCAATCAGGATAAAATTTTGACTGTAACATCAGTGATCCTTATCTAGTTAATGGACCAAGTACTATCTACTTCCTATATTCAGTCTTGTGCTAGTTGATCATACACACCAGTACCCCCAAGTATGGAGAATATTGAGGCGCGCAGAGTAATCAAGTTCTTGCACTTGATGGGCTGCACTGCACGACAAATTCACGATGAGATGAAATCTGTTTATGGTGATGATAACCCATCCTATGACACGGTTGTGACATCGAAAAGGAATTTCCAAACTGGTCACATGTCCCTCACAGATGAGCCAAGAAGTGGTCGCCCCTCATTTACTGATAATTTGGACACCGTGAACAAAGTCGAGGCGCTGGTTCAGGAAGATCGCCATGTAACAATACAAATGGTTATGCATGAGACCGACTTGAGTTATGGCAGTGCATGGAACATCATTCATAACCGACTGCACATGTCCAAAGTGTCAGCACGTTGGGTTCCTCGCTTACTGACTCATCTTCAAAGACAGACTCGACGGGACATGTCACGACAGGCATTGGAGCTTCTGTAGCAGGGTGAAGAGGATTTCTTCAGATATCTTGTAACCATGGACAAATGGTGGGTCTATTTGTATGATCCTGAGACAAAAGACTTGAGTAAAGAGTGGAAACATGCCACGTCACCACCTCCGAAAAAGGCCAAGATGCATGAAATCAGGGTACCTCTATTCAGCCGGTCTGCGCAAGGTCAAGAAACGGTGGCAGAAATGTGTAACTCGGGATGGTGACTATGTAGATAAATCATAAGGACAAGAAAACAAAATGAAGTTTGTACCCTGAATAAGTATTGGTGATAATTAGAACTGTTTGATATCCCCTCGTATATAGACTACGTCAGACACTCACACACACATACACGCACACAGCCGTGTGACGATGTCTTCAAAAACACCATCTAGTCAAAGCCTTCCTTCTTATAATAGTGGAAACATTGTTTACCATGTGATTTTCGTGATGTGTCTCTCAGCTGGATTGACACAGTTATGTTGGTTCTGATTCAACTATAACTGAACCGATCCTATTTGAACACGCAACGTGAGGTTACAGGATATATTTCCATGTCATCTGCGACCGCGTTAAGGGACTGTGAACTGTAATTAATATACATTGCAGAATGTATGGACGTATTATTTTCGAAATGGTTGAAGACATAACTAGATCCTTTTTCCGATTCTGGCATGTTATCGTTTAAATGTCTCTTTTTGAAACCCACAGAAATCCTTACCTCTAAGCCTCCAATGTCGTCTTGGAACAACAGTGTCACTGTCCCATAATCGGAGTGTTCTCCACAGCGAACTTGACCTGGCTTCACAGCTGTAGAAGCAGAATTGGAAAGTCTTTGTAGTTTACAAGAATGATAACATGCTCTTTAGAGATAACTGTCCATTTGAAATTACAATTACGTTTTTGTCTATATCTGTAATCCACAACAAAATAATACATGTCCTTTTTAAAGCAATAATGTTTCGTATCATATTAAAACATCACAAGCATATCTACCCATGCATCGTTCATTCATTCATTCATTCATTTATTCATTCATTCGTTAATCCATCCATCCATCCATCCATTCATTCATTCATTCATTCATTCATTCATTGGTAATTATATTGAAAATATTGGACGGAATTCATTCATCCAGCGGTACAATTATAGAATGGATACAGGACACCATGTTTAAACATGACCACAACCATGACAATTCTCCAAAACACCCCAAATGAATATGAAATTATCATGAAAACTCACGTCCAGTTAGAGGAGGGTAGTAGTTGCTTCTGAGAGTGGTGCTGTTCCCCTTCCTGCCCATCTGACGGTGGCAATCGCGGAGGAAGTTGCGATCCTGAAACACGAGAACTCGACCTCAGACACAGTCGCAAGCATCACAGGAAACTAAATATATATTTTCTCGAAGTATACATATCCGTTTGCATCATGTGTAGTGTACATGTGTAGCAAATAACTTCAACATCTAGATAGACAAAATTCACTTCATGTGGACCAATACCTCTTTTCAGTATCCTACCTGGAGTGTAAGACCGATAGACAGGATATGAATCTATATACTATGGATATCATACCTGGAGTTTAAGACCGATAGACAGGATATGAACCTATATATACTCTCCCAAAACAGAAACGCATATAGGAATTTCAACTGTATTTTTATGTTTATTTTGAAACATCTTGTAGGCTTTATGAGTCAATGAAATATAGCGAAATTGCACACTGGGAATGCAGACTTATCCGTCTTTGGCACCAACTCGAGGAAAGTAAGTTTGAGTGTCACATGGAGACGTGTGGTGGCGCTGAAGTCAATACCTCGTGTGACCACCGTGGGCATCCAGAACTGCACGGCATCGCCTCGGCATCGAACGAATAAGTCTCAGAATCTCGTGTTGCCCAATCGCAGCCCACTCTGCCTGTAGTGCCTGTGCGAGTTGCTGAAGTGTCTGGGGCATAGGGTTACGGCGTCGCACCCGTCTGTTCAGGGCATCCCACAGATGTTCGATCTGGTTCAAGTCCGGTGATCTTAAGGCCAGGGGAGCACATTGATGTTGTGGTTCTGGAGGAAGTCTCTAGTGTGACGTGCTGTGTGGGGCCTGGCAATGTCCTGTTGAAACAACTCTCTCTGGCGATCAATGATTGGAAGGAGGTGTGGGCGTAGGATTTCGTCACAGTACCGTTGAGCTGTCAGGTTACCCTGGATCATCACCAAATCACTTCTCCTATGGCAGGTGATCGCTCCCCACATCATAACACTGTCCCGGTCGAATCTGTCCACCTGGGGAACGCAAGCGTCGGCGAAATTTCGACGATGTTGTTGTCGAAGCACAGGGCCAAAATAAGGTCTTCTGGCACGTAAACCAGCCTCTCTCAACCTGTTCGTGGCGGTCTGTGCAGAAAGCCTCCTCAATCCGGGTATTTGTCGAGCGGTACTTGTCGCCGTAGCTGTTCGATGACGCAGCTGATGTACCCGGATGTAGCGATCCTGCGCCGCAGTGGTCGCTCGAGGTCGCCCACTACGAGGGGCATCTGCTACCGAATTCTGCCGGCGATATCTCTCACAGAAATGGTGCTTTGGTGAACATTCATGCGTCGGGAAACTGCATGTTGAGACTGGCCAGCTTCAAGCAAACCAATGGCGATATGACGGTTGGCTTCACTTAGACGTGGCATTTTGCGTTCGTCAACAATATTCCAAATACAGTGAATAATCGACAGACAGCGATCAACCTTTTATACCCCATCATTGAGACTATCTGATCCCCAACTTTCACGTGCATTGCATGTGAATTGTGTATTCTGTGACACTACACGCCGAAATTGAAAATCATGCTGCTAAATACGGGTATTTTACGGATGGTGCGTTTTGTTGTGATGTTTCAAAACATAAACACAATAAGACTCATAAACAGAGCAAAACCTTTTGTAAAATGAATCACGTTTTAATTCATTGCTACATGAAATTGCTATTTTTATGATGCGTTTCGTTTTTGGGAGAGTATATTATGGATATCATACCTGGAGTTTAAGACCGATAGACAGGAGATGAATCTATATGCTATGGATATCCTGCTTGGGGTTTAAGACCGATAGACAGGACATGAATCTATATACTATGGATATCATCATACCTGGAGTTTAAGACCGATAGACAGGACATGAATCTATATACTATGGATACTATACCTGGAGTTTAAGACCGATAGACAGGACATGAATTTATATACTATGGATATCATACCTGGAGTTTAAGACCGAAAGACAGGATATGAATCTATATACTATGGATACTATACCTGGAGTTTAAGACCGATAGACAGGATATGAATCTATATACTATGGATATCACAATTGGAGTTTAAGACCGATAGACAGGATATGAATCTATATACTATGGATATCATGCCTGGAGTTTTAGACCGATAGACGGGACATGAATCTATATACTATGGATATCCTACCTGGAGTTTAAGACCGATAGACGGGACATGAATCTATATACTATGGATATCATAATTGGAGTTTAAGACCGATAGACAGGATATGAATCTATATACTATGGATATCATACCTGGAGTTTTAGACCGATAGACAGGACATGAATCTATATACTATGGATATCCTACCTGGAGTTTAAGACCGATAGACAAGACATGAATTTATATACTATGGATATCCTACCTGGAGTTTAAGACCAATGACAGGACATGAATCTATAAACTATGGATATCCTACCTGGAGTTTAAGACCGATAGACAGGACATGAAACTATATACTATGGATATCATACCTGGAGTTTTAGACCGATAGACAGGACATGAAACTATATACTATGGATATCCTACCTGGAGTTTAAGACCGATAGACAGGACATGAAACTATATACTATGGATATCCTACCTGGAGTTTAAGGCCGATAGACAGGACATGAAACTATATACTATGGATATCATACCTGGAGTTTAAGACCGATAGACAGGACATGAATCTATATACTATGGATATCCTACCTGAAGTTTAAGACCGATAGACAGGACATGAATCTATATACTATGAATATCATACCTGGAGTTTAAGACCGATAGACAGGACATGAATCTATATACTATGGATACCATGCCTGGAGTTTAAGACCGATAGACAGGACATGAATCTATATACTATGGATATCCTACCTGGAGTTTAAGACCGATAGACAGGACATGAATCTATATACTATGGATACCATACCTGGAGTTTAAGGCTGATAGACAGGACATCAAGGACTCTCTCTGTCAGTCGTATGCAGTCGTCGAAGAATGAGAAGAAAGATGACTTAAATTCGGGAAGATCCGCTGGCCACGCCTGTATGAGACCACTGTTGTTACTAGGAAACTAGACAGAAAAGATATAAACAAGCGTTGTTGTGAAATACTTCAAGAACACGACAACGCTCACCCAAAGGCGCTAGTATAAAGGATTTAAGGAAGCATATTTTTTGTTTCATAAATTAGTAATGAAATGAGGCGTGTCTTCCGGAAAAAAGACAACAAATGGTTGTAATGACATCAGCTAACACATTACACATGACAATTGGACAGAATCCCGATGCTAAATTAGTGAGGTGTGGCAACTATAGCACAGTAACATATGTTATATTAGGGATCATTACACTTTCTTAGTAATGTACAAATTCTAGTATTTTTTGATGGGTAAGGTCCCATCCGGGATTCGAACCCACACCCTCAGAGTCAGGCACCTAATCGCCAGCACACAAAGTCAGACGCCTAGACCGCTCAGCCACCGCGGCTTCCACTATAGCCCAGAACAAGTAAATACATGACTGAAACTAGTGACTGAGAGCATGAGCAAATATCCAAACCACCGGAGTACGACTATACGCAGTCCGCCGAACCAGGACCCACAGACCGTATATAGCCACCTTAGAATAAACAGTGAAAGTACCCCATCATCCTTTGGTGTAAAGTTGAATGCTTCCTTTAAATCCGCAACCGATCCCTCGAAATTCAACCTAGGATAAAGAAAATAGAAGATTTTATACCGTTTTCGTGGGATCGAACCCCGGTCCGCCCTTGATCGTTGGTGTTACCTTCATCTTTTCATTGATTAACACGTGTGGGGCGGTAGGGTAGCTATGTGAAGCGTTTGCTCGTCACGTCGAAGACCAGGGTTTAATTTTCCACATAGGTACAATGTGTGAAGCCCATTTCTGGGCTTCTTTCTTCCCCATGATATTGCTGATCATGAAATATTGCTAAAAGCGGCGTCTGACTAACCACGCAGAAATCCACGTACTGTTTCAAGTGTCTTGTTGCCATCTACTACTACTAATAATCACGTTGAAATAATGTTTCCATATCTTAAGTTACCTGCTGATCTCGTGTCATATGCCGATTGTACCAATTGGTTGTGTTCTTGGGTTCTTGATGATCTTGACCATGACCTTAAGTATTTGCCCACTACTGTAATACATTTCCAAGATACTTCTAACACTATTAATCCACTGATCATCTCAGAGTCGTTTAGCATAACCGTGGTTTAAGACTAAGATGTGGATTCCTTAGGCTTCACTTCCATTTTGAGCAAGACACATTCAGCATTACCATTTATATGCATATTCTTAATGAACCGAAGTGAACTCTGGATGCCTCATACATCTCAGGTGTCAAGTCTTGCCATCAAGACGTGACTCATGATTGGAGGATAGGCAACAAATGAGCTATACATACTTCTAGCACGTTTGACTGGTGTCCACGTCAAGAATGGGACAAAACTATATGCACATATTTGTTGGGTACAGGTCAATGTCCAGCAATATCACGGTGGGTGACATCAATAACTTGAAAGTGGGACGATGGCTTAATGGCTGAGTAGACTATGGTAGAGCCTAGGGAAATTTAGAAGCGAGAGACTTTCTAGAAAACGCCATTTTTTGTTTTAAGTATTTTTCGAATAATTGTTGGATGTAGAAACATTTCAAATTAATACACAATATCTACTTACACATAGGTGAAATAATACCATATTGGCCAGGTTAATCAGAAACACAGCTACTACTCAGGTAACTCACGATTCGCTGTCCAGGGCAACATAGCCATGGTAACCATAACGGTGGTCCAGAACACATTTCATCTTCTCTTCCACAGGGTGATCAAAGAAGGACTTGGACACTCTGAACATAGCATCGACCTTGAATAACAATAGCACATTCATCGGCATGGAATATCAATAGCACAATCATCGACATGGAATATCAGTAGCTCAATCTGGACTATATGATTGTACTCCTCTAAAGGAACGAACATGTTTTACTGTAAAGATTTTATTGAAGATGAATGTCATGTTTAACTGCATGTCCTTTTATACTTAGTACTGTAAACATATGTTTTATATCCTATATTCTTGTGGCTTTTAAATGTTAGATAGTCTCTCGTAAGGCTGTAAAGATTATCTCAACGTTTTATTTATTTTGTTCTATGTACACATGTGTGATGTTGAGGTTGAGGTGAAACTCAAGGTCTGTCTGTCTGTCTACATCGACCTGGAGTAACAATAGCACATTCATCGACCTGGAGTAACAATAGCACATTCATCGACCTGGCCCCGATTTCTCGAAACAAACTTAAGTCTGAGTTTTGAGTTGGGTAGATAGGCTACTTAAGTTGTTTGGGCTTTTTATTTTAAAAATGCAGTTGAGTTAAAAAATCAGCTGTTTCAAATTGTCAAACTCAGTTTGAAATTTGAGTAAAAACTTAAGTTTTTTCGAGAAATCGGGGCCTGGAATAACATACAAGATCCATGTATGGCTTACCCGGTGAAACTCTGAACATGTCATAGATATGGTATAACGATACGACAATTAAATGCTCCAGTGGTCACAAGCAGTGTAGTTAAAGCTATAATCATTTTATTCAACGTTGTAGATAATACCTTGAATAAAGCCACTCTTTGGCGGCTGGTAACGATATCACAGGACACGGTTAGCCTTTTCTTAGACACTTTGTATCATCACTGATTGTAAAACGTGACCCATTCATATAATTTTCACAGCTATTTTCTTCCTTTACATCTACCGTAATTGGTTTCTGAGGAGAGTGAGGACTGGGTATTCTTTTGCACTGTGGCTCGGTATCTAATTCAACTGAGTGGAAGTTTCTGTTAGTGGAGTGAAGTCCCCGAAATTCATCATAAGCTAAGGGACTGTTAATATAGTACGGCTAGGGGGGTGATGAAGATTTTTGTGGAGAAGCATGTACAATGTGAATGACTCCCCCTAAAATTTATGTACAAAGAAAGTGCCCCCCCAATCTGCATGTCATGTACAAAGTCCCCCCCTCCCCCTTTCCATATTTTTAAAGCATAATTTTAAAATAGGTTTATGTATAATTGTAAAATAATTATAAAATAATTTTTTTGCTGACCCCCCTAGAAACATGTGTACAAAATTGCTGACCCCCCTACCTCCCCAGAACAAAATGGGCAACCCCCTTAAAATCATCATCTCACCAACACACACAGACACACGCACAGACACACAGACACACACAGACACAGACACAGACAGACATACAGACACACACACACACACACACACACACACACACACACACACACACACACACACGCCATAAATTATGAAAGGTCCCTAAGGATCAGATTTAAGTATGCTGAGTCAACTACAAAAGAAATGTGTGGTCCGAGATATGAAAACGAACCCAAAATGTGTTTTTTTATATTTGTACTTCTACACACCAGTCGTATTTCAACACTAACTGGATTGTCCATTGACTATTGCAATATCTGGCGTGTTAACAGACCGTTCTCCCATGGCAAGAGTACTTCCTTCTTGAGGCAAACCTTGTCAATGGCGGGTGCTACCAGCAGTTCAGGTGATGTTTACCCATTTCGCGAACACCTGGTGTCATCACTGATTTTTCAGTGATCTATTCATAGAATTTTCACAGGTGTTTTTTTCATTTACACCAAACGGATTTTTTTCTGGGTGTAATCAACACCGGGTATTCTTTATTTAAGAAAATCAGAAAGGTAGGATACTTTATAGATTACAAATTCTTTATTATATTATGATGCGACGTTTCGGTATGGAACATACTTTTATACATCTAGCAGTGATTAACAAAGGCAGCATGATGGTATGCATGAAATGGAGTACGAATAACTATGGATATTGGTAATTAATCAGCTGGGGCAAGCCAGCATGATGAGGAATAAATGTACATAGCTGATAGGATTAATTTGCAACGACAGCTACACCACCGGATTACTGCTATCCTTGCTGAAGCCAGCTCACAACCATCCACCCTGATAACTGCCAAAAAATAAAATATCAGTGACCCACATCAAGGGGCGGTTGGGCAGCCCAGTGGGTAAGCGTTCGCTCGTCACGCCGAGAACCCGGTTCGATTACCCACATGGGTACAATGTGTGAAACCCATTTCTGGTGTTCCCCGCCGTGATATTACTGGAATATTGCTAAAAGCGGCGTAAAACCAAACCCACTCACTCACAAGGACATCACCATTGCCCCAGCCGACAAGGACAAGGTCACAGTCATCCTGAACACATCAGAATTCCACATCCAAGATCCTCCAAGACCCCACCATCTAGAGCAAGGTCAAGAAAGGCCCTACTACAAAAGTCAACTGTGAGAAGCTGCCATCCAGAATGTATCCCACCTGTCTATGAACCTCCAAATCCGTACAATCTGAAGCTTTGTGTTCATTCAATGGACGTTATAAACAAATCAAACTGAACATTGAAAACGATACTGATATAACTGATAGTTCCAATAAATTAATCTCAAAAGTCTTCACTGGAATTGTGAACTTGTCTCTCTTGAACCTTCACACGTCATGACAAACACCGCTCATAATCAGTAGGTGGTCGAAGGAAGCAGGAAAAAACACAATGACCAATCTCATTAAAATCAAATATGTTATCGTACGATTCATTCCTGAGTGACGGCTGACGCCACCGACGAAGAAAGTACAACTACTGTATCAGTTTGGGCGACTAAGAATGACTAACACCTCCCAGCTGAATATGACAGTAACTTTTGATATTGTCCCTGACCTATATTCAAACAGGATACGTTGTTTACCTTTCTCTGCTCAATCCCATGGTTTGTCAGGTACAGGAAGCCTATTGTACTGAAGGCATCATATATCTCCTTGGCCGTGGTCTCCAGAATGTCATCCGTCACGGACGTTGTGTCTGCAACATTCAGTCCGTACTTCTGGAAGTCAACAATTGGGATAGCCGACGCCGCCATTGCTTCTCGCTACACCAAGGTCATGCAAAGGTTAGGCCGCCTAATAACATGCTTGGTGGGGCGTTTCAGATGAACTATTTTACATGAATATTCAACGACCCCCTTATTTCCATCCGGACTTTCTCCCTGTAGTGTTGTGTGTAAAGAAGTGTACCAGTAAACAGGTGTTAGCTCACTAAGGATCGTAAAGGGGCGCGTGAAAGCAGAGACCATATAATATGGTCTCTGGTGAAAGTAAGGCTAGCGATACAGCGAGACAGCAGGAGTGCAATACCGAGGTAAATGCATCACAGAGAGAGGGCAAAGTCCCCTCACGGTTCGCCCGTCAAATTGCACTCTCGTTCAAACTTTAGAAATCAAAATATTTACACGTATTTAGAAAATGATGATTCTCTGAATACATTTGCATGGGTGAGATATGACGACACCGTATTAACATACACATTGCATGGTGAGATATGACCTCACTGTATTAATATGTACATTGCATGGTGATATATGACCTCACTGTATTAACATATACATTGCATGGTGAGATATGACCTCACTGTATTAATATGTACATTTTGCATGGGTGAGATATGACGACACCGTATTAACATACACATTGCATGGTGAGATATGACCTCACTGTATTAATATGTACATTTTGCATGGGTGAGATATGACGACACCGTATTAACATACACATTGCATGGTGAGATATGACCTCACTGTATTAATATGTACATTGCATGGTGATATATGGCCTCACTGTATTAATATGTACATTGCATGGTGAGATATGACCTCACTGTATTAATATGTACATTGCATGGTGAAATATGACCTCACTGTATTAATATGTACATTTTGCATGGTGAGATATGACCTCACTGTATTAACATGTACATTGCATGGTGAGATATGACCTCACTGTATTAATATGTACATTTTGCATGGGTGAGATATGACGACACCGTATTAACATACACATTGCATGGTGAGATATGACCTCACTGTATTAATATGTACATTGCTTTGGTGAGATATGACCTCACTGTATTAATATGTACACTACATGGTGAGATATGACCACACTGTATTAATATGTACATTGCTTGGTGAGATATGACCTCACTGTATTAACATGTACATTGCATGGTGAGATATGACCTCACTGTATTAATATGTACATTGCATGGTGAGATATGACCTCACTGTATTAACATATACATTGCATGGTGAGATATGGCCTCACTGTATTAATATGTACATTGCATGGTGAGATATGACCTCACTGTATTAATATGTACATTTTGCATGGGTGAGATATGACTACACCGTATTAACATATACATTGCATGGTGAGATATGACCTCACTGTATTAATATGTACACTGCATGGTGAGATATGACCTCACTGTATTAATATGTACACTACATGGTGAGATATGTCCACACTGTATTAATATGTACATTGCTTGGTGAGATATGACCTCACTGTATTAATATGCACCTTGCATGGTGAAATATGACCTCAATGTATCAACATCCACTAGAGTGAGATATGAATGCACTGTATTAATATACACGTTACATGTATTAACATGGACAAATTTGACAAAGTTTTACCAATATTTTATAACGGTTAGTGTTATTGAAAACCGGGCATATTACAGATAAACTGACCACGTTCCTCAATAAACCTGTAAAGGGTCACATTGATAACGAGCATCGGACATAATCCGGGACCAGTATCTCTAAAGCTTATAGATCCAAGGTGCAATACCTTTGTTTGTCTTTACGGCTGTTTGTATTCCACGTTGGTCAAATCAGGTGCGTGTCACATATACCATATGGCATTTACGGCTGTTTGTATTCCACGTTGGTCAAATCAGGTGCGTGCCACATATACCAAGTGGCATACTTGCGACTGGCCATCGATGCTTCGGTCCAACTAAATTACATTGCGTTATGAGCACTATGCTGTTCTGTGCTGCATGAACGCCCACTGGGTTGATATGGAGAATATTGAACTATTGTATTACTTTTTGATTAATGTGAAACGAATCTACATGTAATGTTTATTTACTTTAATAGCTGATTGCATTGTTAATATGTTCTAATAATTAATTATAAACCATACTATTATTGATTGATTCTGTAATATCACCCTTTGACTGGTGTGTAATAAACTCCTTGTCTATTTACTCAGGTGTTGTGTTGTGTTGTGTTGTGTGTGGGTTGGTATGGTCAGACCTCTTGCCAAGCCAGCTGATTCCCCAACTCTCGCGTTTTAATAGTTCGATAGTAATTTGTGTAAGCAATGGTGGCATTAGAACATCAGGGAACTATATTCTCATCATGTCTACCATAGCTGTTCTGTCTTGGAAAATGAATAATGGGAATGGTGTATTAGAACAGTAAATGCTCCTCTTTGTTAAAAGTATGCCATAAGTCCAGTACAGCAACAATTCATGATTGCTCTACACTTAAGACCATTCTAGCTTTAAGGTCACAACAGGCGTATCCCAATCGATTGATACTCAATAATGTTCCCACCGCGACCATACAGGGACAGGGTGTCCTCCCATTTGTGAGAACTCCCAGTTGTGAGACACATTAATTAATGGTTCAGTGCACACAGGTGGTGCTTCCCCATCCCTACGATGAAAGTGGGAACAGCCCTGTTGCTGAAGAGTACCCGCAGGAGGCATAGTTCATTGATGAGTAAATTAACACAGAAGACATTGTTCGTTGAAGAGCATTTATTGTTTTCAATAGATACTGAAATACTGAAGAAGATTATCGTGAACTGGTGATATATTCTACTTGTTGAAGGCCTACCATAATGGTGATCGGAAAGAGCCTACAAAGGTTAATAAATACATTTGGATTATTTATAGTTACAACAGTTATTGCTAGATTTTTCAAACACGTAAATCTGAGTAGGTAAATTAATTTCTCTTTCAAATGATCACGAAGTTACCTTCACAAAGTGTTTATATTTTAAAGCCATTTATCTGAGTAGGTTAATAACTTTATCTTTTAGAGTTTCATTAAGTTACCTCCACAAGATTCAGGTAAGTAGCTAATCCATAATTAGCTGGGATTAATCCATTCTATAAGATAGGGGAGTAAGGTGTGTTTTCTTTGCTAATTACCTACTCCACAGTCTCACAACTGGGAGTCTCACAAATGGGAGTTCTCACAAATGGGAGTAGACCTATCGCAGATAACGTGATCAGCGTTGGGTGTTGTTAGCTAACAAACTAACTATCAGCAAAGTTTTAACAAAAACGAAATGAAACATCAGTCAAGCATAATCTGTTAGCAGCTGGCACGGTGATGGATCCGGGATCTGGCATTCCTACTGACATGAAAGGTAAGACCGGCTTATTATATGGTAATTATTGTTGGCAGCTGCCTGGGAATAGAAATTGATATACATATATATTAATAATATAATTTGATGTCACACGGAACAACAGTGTAAGTGTCGTGAAGGTCATGATATTTTTGTGAGAGACTGAAGTTATGAATCTCTGGCGGAGAGTGAGTGAGTGAGTTGGGTTTTAGGCCGCTTTTAGCAATAGTCTAGCAATATCACGGCTAGGGACACCAGAAATGGGCTTCACACATTGTATCCATGTGGGGAATCGAACCCGGGTCTTCGACGTGACGAGCGAACGTTTAACCACTAGGCTAGCCCAGCGTCCCCTAGCGGAGATGGTTTGTGTGCTTCAGCAACACTGCAGCTGTATGACGACGAGCATGTAATCCACCATGGACCAAACAATATATATATGATATATATCATGAGAAATGCTGGCGCACTTTAAATTGAGCAATGGAGCCTGAACCCTTCACACAGTCGCCTCCTGAGACAAAACCAGATTGCCGAGGGTCAATTTCACACACAGCAAGGCAATGACTTATTTTATGGAGGCGAGCTGGTCTGAATAAATATTCATGAACGAGTGAGTGAGTGAGTTAAGATTTTAAGTCACATCGGCCATTTCAGCCATATCGTGACTATATCAAGTTACATATTAATAACAATTATAGGTAAATTATAAAAAGCCTGTCAACGAAGGACAGTAAAACTACAATATCACAAATACAAATGTAAAACTAGCCATTAAATCTAAAACATCTTAATTAAAGAGGACAACACAATATAAAAATGGGCTATAGATCGCTAACAACGGGTGGTAGACCACCATACTAGGGGCCATGGGGACTTACATTACTTTTGCTACCTGCATGGGCCCTAGCTGGATTTACACCATCCCTTCAGCAATTTTTGACAATCTAGCCATAACATTAAAATAACACATATACTGCAGTTAAAAATCATAGTAAGTTTAAATTTACTTGAATTATTTTGGGACTTACGTATCCTCTCCGGAGGACATTAATTTTACAGTATTTTAACCCCCTTTGAGGATACTGCCACTAACAATATCAATTGTTTATTTAAACTACCAAGCATAAAAGATTTACCTATTTACACAACTTTAATCAAAATTTATCTAATAACTCTATTTCTTTTACAAACTCGGTAATAAAATGATAATTAACATTATTAAAAAGATCCCTGACAGTTTTAACACTGAAATATTTATCCCTTGTGAAGGAAAAATCAATACAGTCAAGCAGGACATGCTTGACCGTGATTCTTTCATCACAAGGGATGCAAAACGGAGGATCCTCACCTTTCAATAGGTATGCATGAATATACCTTGTGAGGCCAATACGACATCGTCGCATGACGACCTCTTCAAATCTGGACTGACAACCCAAGTAGGTATAACCAATGTAAAGGTTGTATTGTATGTCATATATTTATACCCTCTTGGGTGTCCCACTTCTGCATCAGATCACGGATGTATGTTCTAATGCTAGCTTTGTAATCAGAGTATGGAGTAAGAAGTGGTGTCACAGATTTGTTGAGTGCTGCCTTAGCAGCAAGATCAGTCATTGTGTTCCCAGAAATGCCAACGTGGCTGGGTAACCAACAGGGGACGATGTCATATTGGCCAGTGGCAAGATCATTATATAGTTCAATAATCT